TTTGGGTTCAATATCAGCAATACCATTACAGTTCTTGAAGTTCATTGCACCAATAAATCACGGACCTTTGTGATTATGTTCATACACCTGATTTAGTATAAGAATGTTGTTTATTCTATTATTAAACATTGGATTATCGTGCAATTTCCGAAAATCGCAGGGGAATAAAAAGTCTAGAATCTTAAGAACACTTTAGTAATGAAAAGAAATAGATCCATAGTTAAGAATTAAACATATATCTGACTTGATCTCTCTGGGTGTGAAACAGTTAGGTATGGCAAGTGCTCTGGAAACTCTAAGTGGACAAGCATATGGTGCTCAACAATATGAAAGAATCGGAACTCAAACTTACACCGCCATTTTTTCACTGATTATTATTTGTATTCCTCTCTCGGTCTTGTGGATATTCTTGGGAAAGGTACTCGTTTTTGTAGGCCAAGATCCTCAGATTTCGTATGAAGCTGGAAAATATACAATGTGGCTTGTTCCTGCCCTTTTCGGCTATGCAACGCTTCAACCACTCATTCGGTATTTTCAAATACAAAGTATGATCCTTCCCATGCTCATAAGCTCATGCCTCACAATCTGTTTCCACATAGCTGTCTGCTGGGTTCTTGTATTTAATCTCAGATTAAAGATTATTGGAGCTGCTGTAGCCATGGACCTTTCGATGTGGTTAAATGTTACCATTCTCGGTTTGTACATGAAATTCTCTTCCAACTGTGAGAAAACTCGTGCCCCCATTTCCATGGAGATATTCAAAGGAATGAAAGAGTTTTTCCGCTTTGCCATTCCTTCTGCTGTAATGATTTGGTAACACTCACTTCCTGTCTCCCTCTCTGTTCACTCGTGCTTTCTACACACACGCAGGCACCAAGTTTCTCGTTATGATTCCTAACAATTTAATGCAGTTTACATTTGATGATGCTAGTCTTGAATGGTGGTCATTTGAGCTACTTATCTTGCTATCAGGGCTTTTACCTAATCCCCAGCTTGAAACCTCAGTGCTATCCGTGTGGTATGTTCTTCGCAAACCTCAACGATAGAATAAATGGGTTAAATGCACTTGTCATCATTAAACTCTAGTGAAATTCCATGTTCGCCATTGAATGTAAACTTTGTTTTGGCTACTGAACTTGTACATTTGATATAATTTGATCACCCCGTCCATAACAATTATGTTGACCTACGGAAAAGGTGACACAACATTTACTTATTTGTCAACTAGGCTATCAACTAGACGACCGTGTCATTTTTTTAGTTAGTTAAACTAATGGGCATGGAATGACCAAATTGTTACAAACGTCCAAGTTCAGTAACTAATTTGAAACAAAGTTTACGCTCAATGATCAACTTGGCACAAAATGAGATTAGAGACCTGATTCTAATTGCCTTGTTATGAACAGCCTCAACACCCTTTCTACACTATATGCAATACCATATGGATTAGCTGCTGCTGCAAGGTGCCTTCTGCATCTGATATGTATGCTTAGTTTGCTTGGAATGGTACTTGTAACTAATTCTAAAAATTGCATTGATCTAAATATTCAGCACAAGAATTTCGAATGAGTTAGGGGCCGGAAATCCACAGGGAGCTCGTGTATCCACTATTTCTCTGATGCTTATTGCAGTTGTAGAAGCAATAACAGTAAGCACAATCATCTTTGTTAGCCGGCACGTTTTTGGCTACATTTTCAGCAATGAGGAGGAAGTTGTGGACTATGTCACAAATATGGCTCCTCTTCTTTGTCTATCTACCATAATGGACAGCATTCAAGGGACCCTTGCAGGTTATTTATTTTAACAATCATGTCTATCATATAAAATTTAATCGTAATTCTAGTAACTTGGGGCATCTTTTTTCATTTTCGGTTTTCAGGTGTCACAAGGGGTTGTGGCTGGCAGCACATAGGAGCTTATATCAATCTTGCTGCATTTTACCTTTTCGGAATTCCAATTGCTGCAGCACTGGGTTTCTGGTTGAATTTAAGAGGAGAAGGTCTTTGGATCGGAGTACTTTCCGGCGCTACTTTACAAACAATTATGCTTGCCACGATAACAAGTTGTACAAACTGGGAAAACCAGGTTGTGCATTCCTTTCCTTTATTCGCTTTTCGCTTTGATCATGAGACAGATATTACTTCTGCTACAAAATTTCGATTTCTTTCTTTTTGTAAATGAAAATCTTGTTATGCTTCCATTCTTCAGGCAGCTAAGGCTAGGGAGAGGTTATTTAAGGAGAAATCTTCAGCTGAGGCGGCATTTGTTTTAAGAGAATAAGAGAAGATTACGAAGGAGTCGCCTCTCCTTATCTTCATGCCTCGTTTATGTAACATCCATTGGACTACAAAATTCATCGATAGATATGGCGTTCATGAGGTCTATATGACATAGTGCAAAAATTCGTCGATAAATAGGGAAGTGACGTGTTAATATTGGAGAAAGGAAAAACTAATCGCCAAAGTACTACTATGGTGAATAATGTTCATATTTCTATGAAAACTATTTCGGTTTGAATAAAGGTTAGAAGCCTATTTCACTTGACATCTTCCTTGTAGCATATGCTTCTTCCAACACCTTGCTATTTGAGTATAAAGCCCGGTTACGAAGATTATGCTAGACTTGGCCGCTACTCACTAGTGTCATTAAACGTAAATTTTATGGTCAGATGCATGTTGTAACTCGCCGGTACGAATGCACTTGTTACTGTTGTAAAAATGCTGGCCTTTTTCATTAATCTTTGACAAGTTTAATATGAAACAAATACTCACATAGTACAAGTAATACACTGTCTTGAATAGGGGTGGCCATTGTTACATTTGATTGTGGTTTTAAGAGAACCTAATGGAATCAAGAATCAATCATTTTTTATAATGGAACCAATGAATTTTTATTTTTATTAAGATATGGAAGCAAATCGGAATCTAACCATGTGGTTCTGGTTTGGCTTGATTTGATTTAGTTCTAGTTCTATTATTTAAATTTTCAAATAGTTCCCGGTTCTAAAAATCAAAATCATTATTATTATTATTTTTATTTATTTATTTATTTTTTTTGTAAAATCGAATCGAATTGTACGATTTGATTCGGATATTTTGTTCACCCCTAATCTTGAATATAATTGTCTGGGACGAGACAGTGCTTTCAATCAAAAGAGTGGTCTTTTTGTACTTCAAGAATAAAAAATATGTTGATTTTGGTTTATGCTAAGGTTAAAACTATAATAAGGCCCCGTTTGGTAGAGATTTTTTGCCCCAAAAAATTGATTTTTTGACCGTTATTTTAGTATTCAAGTCGTAATTTTTGACTTCTTCTCTCACATGTGGACCCCACTTTTCTTCTAACGGTCAAAAAATCAATTCTCAAAATCCATACCAAACGGGCCCTAAATTGAGTTCATTTTAAATAAATATGTTTTGTTCTCTGTCTTGCTTACAAGTACAAAAGTTAAATATCTTTATAATGATAAAGGTTAATTATTTTCATAGCAAAATGTTACTATGAAAAGAAATAATGTACTTATTTTATTAAGTTGGACTTGTAAAAAATTTACTTAATTACTTGTAAATAAAGTCACTTATGAGCACAATTTAACTTCTAAAAATTAATATATCATAGAACTTGAAAGAGTCAGACCTCAAAAGCTAGTATTTGAGGCTGGAAAACTCAAACTTATATAAAACGCACAAAAAAAAAAAAAATTCATACTTTCGATGTGAGATTCAGGTGCCCATACACCCGTGAGAACCATGACAAATCACCACGCTTCCAACTCAGCTTTTACGTTGAGCAAGTGTTCATAGATCCTAAGTGGTAACCAAGACCAAAAGA